TGAAGGAAATAATGACTGCCAATCCACAAGAAGTTGACATAATAGCACTAGAGATCTGCCATGAGGATGATAAACTAATGATAATAAATGCATAAAGTCCACCGCCAAGCAGCACATGGTCAAAGGAGGAGCTAGATAGTAAACGTGAAGGTCTTATAACAATAATGAGAGAGATTATAGCGAGAGCAGATAACGATAGATCACGACTGTTGATAGTCGGTGACTTCAACTTGAAATCCATAGACTGGGAAGCATATGAAGCTAAAACAGAAGATTTTTGGACCTGTAAATTTGTAGACCTCATCCTGGAAACATTCTTGTATCAACATGTTAAACAAGCTACGAGGATGAGGGAAGGGGACGTTCCCTCCATGCTAGATTTGATATTTACCAGGAAGGAGGAAGAGATATTTGACATTGAGTACCTTCCTCCCTTGGGTAAAAGTGACCATGTCTTTTTGGGAATAAAGTATGCAATGTGTTATAAGCAGGAAGAAAATAAGGAGGTTGAAGCAGTTGAAAAACCAGACTTCAGGAGAGGACATTATGGTGACCGTAGAAATTTTTTTAGTGAGTATAATTGGACAAACTTGATGCTAGGCAAGGAAGTGAATGAGATGTATGTCAAGTTTTGTGAAATATATGATAAAGGCACAAAAAAATTTATACCAAAACAGAGATGCAGAACTAGGAAACAGGATTGGTTCAATAGAAATTGCGAGAGGGCTAGAGACCAAAAGACACAAAAATGGAATCAATACAGGAAGAGGCCGAACCCCCAAACATACCAGCGATACAAAGATGCGAGAAACAACTACACGGCAGTGAGGAGAGAGGCAGAAAGAAATTTTGAAAAAGGGATTGCAGACAAATGTAAAACAGAACCAGGTCTATTCTATAAATTCATAAACAACAAATTGCAGGTAAAGGATAATATTCAGAGGTTCAAAATGGGAAATAGATTCACGGAAGATGAAAAGGAAATGTGTGAAACACTAAACGAAACGTTCCAAAGTGTGTTTGTACAAAATGAAATCTTTAGGGAACCAGATACAATAAGAATTCCAGAGAACAACATAGAGCACATAGAGGTGACTAGAGACGAAGTGGAAAAAATGCTCAAGGAGCTCGGTAAGAACAAAGCAGCTGGCCCAGATGGCGATTCACCATGGGTTCTGAGAGAATGTGCATCTGAGCTCAGCATTCCACTTCACCTGATCTTTCAGGCATCCCTGTGTACAGGAGTTGTAGCAGACGTGTGGAAACAGGCTAACATAGTTCCAATCTACAAAAGTGGCAGCAGGGAAGACCCCCCTCAATTATAGACCTGTATCATTGACAAGTGTAATAGTCAAAATATTGGAAAAACTAATCAAAACTAAATGGGTAGAACACCTGGAGAGAAATGATATATCAGACAGACAGTATGGTTTTCGATCTGGAAGATCCTGTGTATTGAATTTACTCAGTTTCTATGATCGAGCCACAGAGATATTACAGAAAAGAGATGGTTGGGTTGATTGCATCTATCTGGACCTAAAAAAGGCTTTCGACAGAGTTCCACATAAGAGGTTGTTCTGGAAACTGGAAAATATTGGAGGGGTGACAGGTAAGCTTCTATCATGGATGAAAAATTTTCTGACTGATAGAAAAATGAGGGCAGTAATCAGAGGCAATGTATCTGAATGGAAAAATGTCACAAGTGGAGTACCACAGGGTTCAGTTCTTGCACCAGTGATGTTTATTGTCTACATAAATGATCTACCAGTTGGTATACAGAATTATATGAACATGTTTGCTGATGATGCTAAGATAATAGGAAGGATAAGAAATTTAGATGATTGTCATGCCCTTCAAGAAGACCTGGACAAAATAAGTAGATGGAGCACAACTTGGCAAATGGAAATTAATGTTAATAAATGTCATGTTATGGAATGTGGAATAGGAGAACATAGACCCCACACAACCTATATATTATGTGAGAAATCTTTAAAGAATTCTGATAAAGAAAAGGATCTAGGGGTGGTTTTAGATAGAAAAATGTCACCTGAGGACCACATTAAGAACATTGTGCGAGGAGCCTATGCTACACTTTCTAACCTTAGAATTGCTTTTAAATACATGGATGGAGAAATACTAAAGAAATTGTTTATGACTTTTGTTAGGCCAAAGCTAGAATATGCAGCTGTTGTGTGGTGCCCATATCTTAAGAAGCACATCAACAAACTGTAAAAGGTGCAAAGACATGCTACTAAGTGGCTCCCAGAACTGAAGGGCAAGAGCTACGAGGAGAGGTTAGAAACATTAAACATGCCAAAACTAGAAGACAGAAGAAAAAGAGGTGATATGATCACTACGTACAAAATAGTAACAGGAATTGATAAAATCGACAGGGAAGATTTCCTGAGACTTGGCACTTCAAGAACAAGAGGTCATAGATTTAAACTAGCTAAACGAAGATGTCGAAGAAATATAAGAAAATTCACCTTCGCAAATAGAGTGGTAGACGGTTGGAACAAGTTAAGTGAGAAGGTGGTGGAGGCCAAGACCGTCAGTAGTTTCAAAGCGTTATATGACAAAGAGTGCTGGGAAGACGGGACACCACGAGCGTAGCTCTCATCCTGTAACTACACTTAGGTAATTACATAATTGACCACAAGTTTATTTCGTAAAGGAATCTACGAAGTCGTTTGATGATTCCTAGATGAACAAAATAATGCTGTGCTGCTGTGGCTAGCGCTGTGAACATCGTGAACAGTATTGAGTCACTAATATTTTAACATTGTACTCAGTCATTATCACACTCAGGCTCTTCTGTAATACTATTATGGCTAAATAATGCAAGTTATATATATATTTTGACATTATTAGGTGATGCTGTGGTCACAAGCTGAACAGCAGTGCTGTCAGCTAATGCTGCGTGTGCCGGCCTTGGTTGCTCACTCACTACTGAGGCTCTCACACCCAGGAATGTGGACCACGATTTTTTTTTTTTTATAGATGGCGCCTGTTTACAAGAACCCTGAGGAAGCTGATGTGAACCCCATGTAGGCGTGGGAGTTTTGAATCGAATGTGAAAAATACAAATACCCGGAGGCGTGTAGTGCACCCCAGATGTGGGCCTGCAGGCGCGTTGCGCAGTTAAAAGGTTAAATGCTGATTGTTATTAAGTATATATACAGAGACCAGAGTTCTGCTGTGTAACCTTCAGTTCAACTCCTCGAGATTTAAACGTTTGATCATTTAGATAACACGGCTCGAAGATACTGTTCCGTTCAATGTTACACTGCAAGCTCTGATTTACGCCGCCACCACCTGCTACCTTTTACCCCCTGAGTAGTTCCCCTAATTGACAGTGAAGCAGGATACCGACCAATTAGGTATAAACCCCGAAAATGGATCCCCAGTTATCGGAAAAGAAGGGATAAAATTTACATTAAGTGTGGAATTAAATCAAAGTACATACAAAGGGATTATATGTGATATTAAATAAATGCTTGCCGGCTTGCAGAGGGAGCTAGTTCCAAGCATGAGGTTTGCGCCCAACAGCAATGTAAAATAAACATTGGGGGAAATTTCACTAAACATCATAAAATTCTAAACAAAATTTATTAAAACAAAAATTAACACTGAAAATAATGACAAAATTCATACGGCCTATCTGAACACTTCCTAATTGAGGCAATGACTACAAAAATAATGTGGATTCTACACTGTAATAACTCAGACACAGATGCCTTAAAATACCACAGCCAGACCTCGATGTTCTGCCATGCCTCTGGAGAAAGAGAGATGTTGACCTCCCAGGATGTCTCAAACCACACTGAACTTTCTCTCCACTACTGACCTCTCTGAGGCTGACCCTAGCTCAGTTGCCAAATTAATCTTTGAAGAAGATTACTACTAAAATCCTGTATTCGTCACTAAAGGTGAGTTTATTATTCGAAAACAATTGGGAATTATACTAAAGCGAGGCTAATTATAATATTCAATAGCACTTGCATTTTTCTAATTTACATGAATTAACAAGCAAGGCTGGGAGGTACTTATTTACCACAAAGAGATATTTTTTATATATATATATATTCATATTCTTACTGACGTCAAATGCTTCTTTGATAACATACTAGACTTATTCTTTATTCTCAATTGACATTAATTTTAACATAAGTACTTAACCACGATTGATTATTCCTACTAATTATTTAATACTGTACCTGAATTATTCTCCAAGTTTGATGACTTGACACAGGATGTCTGTGGCGCTGCTGTCTACAATGGGCTCTAATCCCTTGGAGAAGGGATGACCCAAGCCTGCCAGTCAGGTCACTACCAACTTTTAATGTTAAATCTATGGTCTTTCTATATTAACAGTCCCACTGTTAAAATACTCTAATGTATCAAGGGTGCTCTACCATGTTCTTGACAACATTGGTCATCTGTGTTGGGGCCTGATTCTGGTTTGTTCAAGGCAATGCTTCATTTCATGCAAATTTCCCATTTTCTATGCTTTGTGAAACGAAACGATGAAAATAAATCTACAAATTTATTCCCATGCAGTATCTTACATCATTTCTACCATAAAACCACAAATTCTTTGGCCCACTACAGTTAAATGACAAAAGATTGAGACTTTGTACTTGGATTTGCATGCTTCCTGGATGCTAATTAATGATATTATATACAAAAAAATTCAGAACTAGTTTTTATTTTTTTGCACACTGCAGGGATACTGTCTTGGTACTTTGTGGATACAATGGCCATGACATCCTGCAATTACAATGGCTATTTCCCCCCCAATATGCTTAAGGCCTTCTCAAGCATATGAAGCATAAACATGTTGCTTTATCATATAATTCACAATAGCATGGAAATGCAAATAATTATTACCCTAAATACCAGCACAGTACTCCAAATAAGAAATGTCATGTAGCCAGAATATGTAACTTATACTAAAAAGAATCTTAAAAAAAAAAAAAAAATGTTTACACGTTACTTACAATGTCAAGTGACTCTGACATCCCTAGGGCATCCATAACTGTTAAAAGTTCAGATACATGGTCCTTCAGGTCAAGAAGATCAACAAATGTGTAGTAGTAGAGGGAGAGAGACTTCATGATGTCTGTCCGTACATTGGTCAGTGCTTGTAACTGCGGAGTAAACATTTTTGTTATAAGAAATAGCCAAATATTAACCTAGTGTACCGTTAACAACTGTAATGCAAAACTTTCAAACATTAATTACCTCAATTTACAAAATATTTAAGATGTGTATTCAGATTAAGTGAAATGCCTTTATTAAATTTTATACATACTGTATAGTCAACATAAATTAACACAAATTTAACAATTTTAAATTATATAGTTAAGAAGAATATGGGTGATATACTGTATTGCTAAAATGTATAATTACAAAACTGCTATTTTCTTCAATTGTATTATTTTGCCATTTTACCTCAGAGGAAGCAATGTTAGGACTGTCTAGAAACTGGATGGATAACTATATGGAAATGTCTATTAAGAACTTTCTGCCCTTGACAAGTTCCCACTCCCAAATCTAGGAGAATCAGGTGCTATATGGCATTAATCCTTTACGAGAGCTACAAATTCATACAATTCTTACCGACTTGCTGTCGATGTTGGGAAACTTTCTGACAATGTGTTTGATACATGATTCAAGACTTTTGTCAGAAAGAAAAGCTGGTTTAGATTTTGCATCCCCACATGCCTGAAAAAGTAAAGAAATAAGAAGACAAATTAATAAAACAATGGAAATGTAGGCATACACCTTGCATTTCTTATCACAAAAGTATATTTTTGGTTTTGGATTTACAGTGATATTTTTACTTCAAGATCTGATTTGTCAAAACTTTTCTAGGTGTAATATCTGAAAAATCCAGCCAAATAGCCCTTAGCAACACAAGGGTCAATTAAACAATATATCAGAGAGCATGTAGGGTTCGGTGTTCCATGTGCAGAGAGATATGGGAGATTTTACGTAAGTACAGTACAAATAACAATTAGTTTCTATAACAAAACTATTGTTCTATGGAGTCAATTTAACTTTCAGGTATTTATTTTTAAATAATCTTAAATGTATTCTGACTAGTTATGTTAGATTTTATAAAAAATTATGCATTCTACTTGTTAACATCATAAATTAAATTTGGGCTAATTTGAGCAGAGAAGTGCAACGACTGGATCACGGTGCACAGAACGCTGATGTGCCATCAAACACTTTTCAGACAACAATATATCTCGGATAAGTCGCACCACAACATTGTTGCTTGGACCGTCGACTTCCTTTGATATCACATACTGTATTTACTTATTTCATTATGAATGATATTATTTCAGAGTAAAATTGTTTTTTCATGTTCTGCATTCAGCACCAACATTATAGTGAGTAAATATACCATATTTCTTTATTACTTATGTAATGCTAGGAGGCTTTGGGTAGCATTGGGTCATTAAGTGGACAAAATCTCCAATAGATGGGAGGAGAGTCCAATCTCTGTTTTCAACTGTATCTCTCGCCTGGGCGAGAGTCGAAATTTAATTTAAAATTGCTATACAGTATCTCTGTTCCCCAATAAGATATATTTCCTTTGGTGCACTTGCAATAATGATTATATCTCAGTCTTTCTGAACACACATAATATTTTCGGCTTCATTAGCGTATCTTTGTTAATTACACAATATATCAGCAAGTGCATAGGCGTCTGCACTCCATGACCGACAAGCTATCGAATGTCACAAAAAAAGACAGATGTACAGTATCTTCAAATGAGCTTTAAATACAGGTACAGGTATGTCTATTGTAAAGTATTTATTAAAATGAAGCTTGTGTCTCTTTCTTTCTTGAGACGTAAAACATTTATGTTTACAGTATTAATGAATTTACGTGAAATAAACATTGTTTTGTGGGAGAGAGTTGCTCCGTCGAGCGATCTGTACAGGGTAAGAGCTCGGCGATTATAAAATACACCTATCTTTGCTTTAATTTCAAATATGCCTATGGTCAGGTATTTAGAATGAAGCTTATATTTCTAGCTTTCTTGGGACATATAAAACTTTTACATTTAATAACGAATCTGCGTGAAATAAGCACTGTCCTGAGATGAATATTGAGGGTTATGAGCTCGATGAGCGGTGAAAACTAACACGTTTATACAACTACAAATATCTTTGGTTTTACTTAAAATATTTTGATGGTATAGGTTTTACATATAGATCCTGTTTCTGTCTTTCTTTTGACATATAAAAAAATTTAGTTTAATAAGTTATCAAGACGTTTTCAACAATATTCTTAAGGCATTATTCTATTCCAAAATGGTTGACCATTTTGAAGACACAACACATGGGTTGACCCATCTGTCAGTTGGGTCAGATTCCTATAGTGTATTAACCAAATATACATGTTAGGCTTATATCAAGGTCCCTCATTAAGGACAAGTTACTGACCCTCCCCAGGATGCAACCACACAGCTAACTCCTGATTGCCTATTTACTGCTAGGTGAACAGAGGCATTAGGTGAAAGGAAACGAGCCCAACCATTTCTGTCCCGTGCTGCATTCAAACCACAAATTCTCGATTGTAAGTCGAGAGCGAACCCGACTGTACTTTCAGTACTACCGGAACCTGTCGCTGAATTAGAGAAACCTGTAAAGCCTAACTAACTTCCGGTCCCTGACAAAGAAGGCCACCAAGGCAACTATTGAGGTAATTTGGTACTAAACAGTTATTTAGCATAAATTTTTAGCATAAAGTTATTTAGCATAAACATAACAAAGTTTGATAGCTGGCCTCGCCCACTTGGGTGACGGAGAGAGCCTTCTCACAGACACGATAATAAGAGAAAAATATCACCTTTTTAATATTGTAGATCCTTGTTAGTATTCCTGAACATCTGTCATTTAGTATAGACAGCTTCTCAGCAATCTTTTGCTGAGTTGGTGTGAGACTTCGCGACATTTTCACCAACTTGTCATTTTCTCAGACCCAAACAACTCGGGGCAAGTCTATCTGTATTTCTTAATTAACGTTTGCATAATTGTAAGTATGTGGAATTACATAATTGTCCCAGTTTTTTATAAATTTTGAATTAAATAATTATATAAAAATATACGCTGCGCTGCCGTATACTTTTATGCGAATACCTTTTATTAAGAAATTCTATCATGATCCGCTGCATGCGAATCCTCTTACGAGGCTCTACCACATTCTGATAAAATAAATAAATATATATTTATAACACAGAAAGAAAAAACATTAATTTCATCAATATTATATTGAATAGTATTTTATAAAATATAGAAGCGGAAAAACAACTAGCAGTATCTATGAGATGTTCCTTAAAATGTATTTAAAGCCAGAGTCAGGGAAGGAGAATGCGACTGTGTCAGATGTTTAGCTGGGAGGAAGGAGAGGAGTGCCACGTAAATGTTTATGGCAGGTTAGTATATTTCCCTACGTTTACCGCCTGTGTACGTATATACTCTCTGTAAAGCACTTTCCAGACATTTGTCATAATGTTGTTTGATGTATCAATGTTAACACTGAAGATGAGCCGACTCCATGAGTAGTTTTCAGCCAAGAAACTATAGCTCTTAACATCGAACCTGGCATACTTCCTCTAAAACTAGGAGTCTTAGGCCCTTGTACGTCTTAAAAATGTTAGAAGCCAGTGATTGAAATAAATATATAACAATGCAGAGAATATATATTTATATATAATATATCCTGTAGAGTATATGGGAGACTAGACCACCTGCAGGTGGTTGAGGTCACTTAGGAGGTGCTACAGAAAGGCAGGTTATTTTACACGGCAGCCAACATTTGACCAACATTTTTTTTAATGGTATTTTGTTAGGCCTATCAAGGTCCCCCCTAGGTCAACTACTGACCTTTCCCAGGATATAAATCATAAGAGTTGTCTAGCTTCCAGGTACGTATTTACTGCTAGGTGAACAGTGGCATCAGGTATGAGAAAACGTGTCTTGACTTCTTACCTTTTCTCTGAACTGAACTCGGAACTAATTGTAACCCGACTGTTCAAACTGTTCTGTGATGTCTCTAGAAAAAACAAATACAGTATAGGTTATATTTTAGAATTTTTTTTTTAATATAGAGTACATGTCTTTCTGGTGACTAAATCCTTATGGTACTGTACTATGAAAGTGTCACTAATTGTGCAGTCATACTGCAACTGAAGGATACCCAGGGTTCAATTCCTATGGTAGAAAAGAAGCATTTGAGCAATGTTTCTCTGTTCACCTAGCAGTAAATACATACTGGGAATGTGATAACTGTTGAAGGTTGCATCTTGAGAAAGGCCCGTAGTCAGTTTAGGGGGGAATACGATAAGCTGAACAGGTTCCTTATTCCTGTATGTAAGAATCATGGTGTATGTTAAAAATTTTGTATTGACTAGTATGTTTAAATTAAAAATAAGAAGCCAAGTTCATGATATTTTTATATTAGGAAAGATTTAATGAAACAATACCAAACAAATGACATTGCGATAATGTTTCTTTGCCGGTGATATAAACAAATGATAATTTTCCTTTAATGGCTCCATATTCCCATTAGCTTATGGGCAGATAATGAGATGGCTCTGTTAATTCTACTTAGTTCACTAATTACAGTTAATACCTCTTCTCAAACATACTAGAGGATGGTCGGTTGAGGTGTAGGACTGGTAATATAAGCAATTGACAGCAAATCATCATCAGTCTAACTTCAAGAGTAATTACCTAAGTGTAGTTATATGATGAGAGCTACACTCGTGGTTTCCCGTCTTCCCAGCACTTTGTCATATGACGCTACGAAATTACTAACAGTTTTGACCTCCACCACCACCTCACCTAACTTGTTCCAACTGTCTACCACTGTTTGTGAACGGGAATGTTCTTATATTTCTTCGGCTGCTTAGTTTAGTTAGTTTCAATCTACGACCTCTTGTTCTAGGTCTTGGGAATTCTTCGTTATCGTGAGGTTATCATGAGATGATTTTGGGGCTTAGTGTCCCTGCGGCCCGGTCCTTGACTAAGCCTCCACCCCCAGGAAGTTGCCCATGACAGCTGACTAACTCCCAGGTACCTATTTACTGCGAGGTAACAGGGACATCAGGGTGAAAAAAACTCTGCCCATTGTTTCTCGCCGGTGCCTGGGATCGAACCCAGGATCACGCGTCCAGTGTTCTGTCCGCTCAGAAACCGGCATTCTACTTCCCTATCAATTTTATCAAGTCCGGTTGCTATTTTGTACATAGTAATCATATTGCCTCTTTTTCGTTTTCCTTCTAGTTTTGGCATATTTAATGCTTTGAACCTCTCCTTGTTTGTATTACATCAAGTTTGTTAATGTAATTCTTAAGATATGGGCACCATACAACCGCAGCATATTCCAGCTTTGGTCTAACAAAAGTCAGAAGCAGTTTCTTTAATATTTTCCCATCCATGTATTTAACAGCAATTCTGAAGTTAGAAAGTGTAGCATAGGTTCCTCACACGATATTCTTTAGGTGGTCCTCAGGTGATAGTTTTCTATCTAGAACCACCCCTAGATCTTTCTTTATCAGAATTCTTTAAAGATTTCTCACATAATTTATATGTTGTGTCAGGTCTATGTTCTCCTATTCCACATTCAATAACATGGCATATATTCACATTAAATTCTATTTGCCAAGTGGTGCTCCATACACTTTTCTTGTCCAGGACTTCTTGAAGGGCATGACAATCATGTTAGTTTCTTATCTTCCCTATTATCTTAAAATCAACAAACATGTTCATATAATTCTGTATTCCATTTGGTAGATCGTTCATGTAGACAATGAACATTACTCGTACAAGAACTGAACCCTGTAGTACTCCAATCGTGACATTTCTCCAGTCCGATACATTGTCTCCGATTACCGCCTTCATTTTTCTGTCTGAAAAATTCTCATCTTTGTCACTCCAATATGTTCCAGTTTCCAGAACAACTCTTATGTGGAACTCTGTCGAATGCCTTTTCTGAGGAGCCTATATGGCTCCCCAGAGCTATGCAGGCAGATATGGATATCCCTAACTTTACAATCATTCGATGTGGGTGGAGTTCTAGACCTATCAGGGACCACGAGCCAGAACCTGGCCCCCCTCTCAGAGAGGCATGGGGAGCAATGGCCTATTGAATGCACATAAGATTTTGGAGCATTCTGTATCTGCCATTAACTGGGACAGGCACCCAGGAAGGTAGGCCCCCTCCCCCCCCCAAAAAAAACCTATTCTGGTTAAAAACGACGAAAATAGACAGTTCTGTATCCCTGCGGATCCTTCGGTTCCATCCTTCCGGAGGTTTTCGGCTTCCCGCGTGTGTCTGGCTGAGGTGCAGGCGGCCATCGCAGCTTACCCTGAGCGACCTGGAGTATTCCTCTATAATGGATCCGTCCTTCCTTCAGAAATGCTCCAAAATCACATGTGCATTCTATAGGCCATTGCTCCTCATGCCTCTCTGAGGGGGCAGGTTCTTGCTCGTGGTCCCCAGAAGGCCTAGAACTCCACCCACATACACTGATCCCAAAGGTAGGGATATCCATATCAGCCTGGATAGCTCTGGGGAGCCTCTGGGACTCGCCCAGAAAATGGCGTTTCATTACATTCAACGCTGGTTTTTTAGGGCCAGATAGATGCAGTCTACCCAACCATCTTTCATGTAAAATCTGTTGCTCGATCATAGAAACTGAAAATGTGTTACACAGGATCTTCCAGATCTAAAACATACTGTCTGTGTGTGTTATAAAGTTTTTCTCCAGGTATTCTACCCATTTTTTTTTTTTTTTTTTTTTTTTTAATATCTTGACTTGTTAGTAATTCAGATCTGTAATTGAGGGGGGGGTCTTTCCTGCTGCCACTTATATAGATTGGAACTATGTTAGCCTTTTTCCACATATCTGCTAGCACTTCTGTACACAGGGATGCCTGGAAAATCAGTTGAAGTGGAATGCTGAGCTCAGTTGCACGTTCTCTCAGAACCCATGGTGAAACTCCATCTAAGCCAACTGCTTTGTCCTCCCTTAGCTCCTTGAACATTTTTTTAACTTCGTCTCTAGACACCTCTGTGTGCTCTGTTGTTCTCTGAAATTCTTACTGTTTGGTTCTCTGAAGATTTCACTTTGTACAAACACACTTTGGAACTTTTTGTTTACTGTTTCACACATTTCCTTTTCACTTGAAGGTCCTTTTCATAACCAGAATTTCCCTGCTCATCACTTTGTAATTTCCTAACATTCCTTAGTACTTTTTCCATCTGTTTAGCATTATTCAGGGTGATCCTCAAGAGTCGAACTTTCCCTTTTTCTTTTATCTACTACTTTCATTTTTTCTACAGCTCTTTCTGATCTAGATGTTATCTCCTTTTCTTTGCAACAAAAAATTAATAGGGACCTAACACTTTTATCCGGCGAAGATGGAAATTACATACATAAAAAACTTTACGGATGTCAGGCGGTGAAGCATGTTGCAACTAAAATTAAAATATTTGTTAAAATTCCATTTATTGTTTGATTATTATGGGACTTGTTGCACACTTTAGATTGCGAACAATTTAATACCATAATGAACGACGTAAGACGACAATTGAGGTCAGAACACTGGAAAGATTATATATACTGTACTTGTGGTGATGAGTGTCCAAAATTAAAATATTATTTTAAATTCCAGTTACTGTTTGATTATTGTGGTACTAGTTTTAAAATGAATGGAGTAGCATGGAAATTCGAGGTCTGAACACTGGAAAGAGTACACACGTTAGTGTGGGTGTGTGCTCCCAGGAAACGAAATGTTCACTTTGGGGTGGGCTGGGGCATGCACGCCAGGGACGCCAAAGTCTTAATTTGATCGACTGTTTTTTGCATCCAAATTTGGGTTTGATGCCAGTTCTTTTCTGACTTCCAGCTTAATGTTTGTTTTATCCTGGTTGCTACAGTGTTTAGCCACCTTTACTGCTAATTTTTCCTTCTTCCTGGCTATTTGTGCATAGGTAAGTTACATATCTTTCTTGCACTGTTCTTACCTTGGTTATTTGACAAAACTTGGAACTGCCAATTTTGGTTAATATTTCTGTGGTTATCTTGAGATGATTTCGGGGCTTAGCGTCCCCATGGCCCGGTCCTCGACCAGGCCTCCTTTTTATTACACATTCCCAGGAAGCAGCCCGTAGCAGCTGTCTAACTCCCAGATACCTATCTACTGCTAGGTGAACAAGGGCATAAGGGTGATAGAAACTCTGCCCATTTGTTTCCGCCTCCACCGGGGATCGAACCCGGAACCTTAGAACTCCAAATCCCGAGAGCTGTCCACTCGGCCATCAGGCCTCAAGTCCCTCCCCAGAGGCTGGCGAGCCTCTCCGGCTCCCTGCGACTATCGGACCAATATATGCTATACTGTATTAGTCTGGAGCATCAGTAAAAGGAGT